ATTTTTTCCCCAAGTCTTCCTTCCATCTTCTTCTCTATTATTTAGGATTTCAAATTGTGGTATAAATAATCCTCATAATTTGTAGTTCAAGCAAGACATCTTTCAACTTCCCCTTGTCTAGTTTTCTTCAACGTGGCGTGGTCACTTTTCCTGAAGGTGCCTGACATTTTCTTTTATTAGCCAGTTCCTGTCTGTGGATTAAGATTAGATCCAAGATAACTGATCTCTTTGTTTACTATCTGAAAATTACAGTTGTCAGATAGAAATTAGAAGTCTAAGGGACCCCATTCTTTGTTAGTTTCCCAGAAGATATTTGGGTCATTGAAGTCTCCCACTATCTCTCCATTCTTCTAAACACATTTATTCCCATCTTTATGAGATACAGTCCCTTCCTAAGCATCTCTTACACTGGTGTTTGTAGCAGGACATCCATGTTTACTCTATGGTGGCAAAAAAACAGAAAGTGTCTATATTTTTCCAGTGGAAAGTTTTGATTTAGTTGATCTTTGTGAAAGATCTGGAAATAATGGTGTATGGTGTCTTCTGTAAATTTTAGTGCAAACCCCTTCATAGATTAATGGCTTAAGTTCAAAGTGCCATGATAATGTGCTTGCTAACCCATGTTTAGGGTATTATCTCTTTAAAGGGCATCTGTTTCCCTTTATCTGTGACAAAGGAGTCAGCCCCCTCCTTTGGTCTCCTCTTCCTAAGCATAATTATCACTATTAGTTCACACTTTATGTTTGTTTGAACCTATGGGGATATTTTTGAGAAATTCCTTCCTGTATCCTTTATTATATACAATCTGGAGACTTTGAATAAGAATAATTACCCTGCTGGGCAATTACCTTTGTAGAACCATAGGAAAAATATCTTTTCCCAAACAAGAGGCTTCCAGATGAGGCATCTATTGTAAAACTCCACTGGCTCACTGACAAAATTTATAGATGCTTAAGAGGCCATCATTTTCTTTTAGGAATAAAATCTGCAAAGCCCCCCCCCCCCCCCAAAGAAGTACGCTTATGCATATTTTTGATTTTGATTGGCAATGCCATAAGCCATGCACTTGAAAGACCATAATTAGGAAAAAATTGAGATACCTCCAAGAGCTACAGGTATATGGGTAAATAGAAAGAGAAGCAGACATCTTAAAAGCCTATATAGCTCCAACTGAATTGAATTGTCTGAGCAGAAACACACGCTCACCGAACCGGTTGTTAAACTAGCAGGATCCCACCACTGCTTCCATTCAATACTTATTGCACAAGAAATTATATGAATTGACTTCTAGAGAGAAAGATAGAATGATTAGAAAAATGATAAGCACAATTACATCATATCACCTAGTCCTATTGCTGCTGGAAAGATACAGGATTTAAATAATTAACTGTTATCTTGGTTCTAGGTTTAAGCCCAGTCCTCTATTTCCTATTAGATCAATTTTTTTTAAAGAACTTTTTTTGCTACTCCTAGTGACTACTTTCCATGCAGACATTTCTGTTGAGGAATATTGGTATATCTGTTAAGCAAACACATATGTTTCAGGGGATTTGGGGGAAGGTTGTAGAAATTGATGGCCAGGTCTGCTGTCCCTTCTGTCCTTCATAAATGTGGGAAATAATCTACACATTCCCTTGTGACTTTAAATCCAAGGCAATATTTGTAGTAGTTGTTAAATGGTTCTTTTAAAGGAAATAATTCATTATTATGTGTCACCATTGAGAAAACATTAATTTTCCATAGAAATTATTTTAAAAAAATCCACATTGTGCTGCCATAACAAATTGGCTCCTAATGTGTTTTTCATTCAGGCAGAGAATGCACCGCACTTAAAATATGTACAGGTAGGTTTCTTAAATGCTTCTTAGCATTTCCAAAGCTCAACATCAGGCCTCATTCCAAAGCACTGGAAATCATGCCTGCTTATTTATCTATGCTCTAAACACAAGAATAGTGTTCATGTACCTGAGAAACAAATGGAGCTTCTTAGCATTAAACTACAGAGATATCGTTCTGAGCTGTGTGTGAATGTACATATTTTGTATGTGTGAGTTTTGAAGACTGGCATTTCCAGCCTATGTTAGTGAAGCAATACTTTAGATTAACATCTGTTTGTAGAGCATGAGGGCTTTGCAGTAACCTGCCTTGAAGAGCCAAAACTATTTTTCTTTGAAAACAATCTTCTACGTTCATTGTTCACTACATAAACAACTTTCCAGTAAGAGAGAGAAGAGAGCGAAAGAAATAAAGAAAAACCCTAAGCTCATTGCAGCTTCATTCCTCCCACCCCACCCCCCAATTTCTAAAGGCTAATAATTCTGTAAAACTTTAATGCCGTTTTGGATGATAGGCTCACTTAAACTGATGAACAAAATAGGTTCTTCAATTATGTCTTTGCAAGCCAGATGAGGCCCTGTTATAATCTTACTGATATACTTCTGTTTCATCAGTTTTATTTTAGACACTGGAATCGGTAAGGAACAAGGTAAAATCTGGCATGAATCCTCTGAGCTCATAACATTCCATCTCTGCCCTCATAAATTACCAATAAATCATTATTGTTTTTCTTTTTAAATGTAGCAGAGATATAACCTTGCTGCTTCGTGAAGACATGGTTGCTTCCTGAGAAGTAGCATCACTCCCACCAATGACCACGCTTTATAGCCATTGCACTTATTACATCTCAAGAGGTACCCTACAGTGGGCGGGGACAAGATCTCGGACAAGGTAGACAGTTTGGGAGATTTTAAAATAGGTCCTTAATCTTGCAGAAGGCAAATATTTTGACCCTTAATATCCCAATATCCAAAAATAAAAACATGCACATATGACCATTCAAAAAGTTGAAAATTTTAGCCTTGCCTATTTTAGAGGGTCTTGGAAAAGTTGTTGGCAAACTACATTTTGTATGCCAGTACTGTAGGAAATGATATGAAAGACTAAGACAATAGTATTTTGAAAAGCTCAACTCCTGCCAATTTTGTTTGTTGTTGTTAGTTGCAAAAGTCATGTCCGACCCATCATGACCCCATGGACAATGTTCCTCCAGACCTTCCTGTCCTCTACCATCCTCTGGAGTCAATTTAAGCTCACACCGACTGCTTTGGTGACTCCATCCAGCCACCCCATTCTCTGTCATCCCCTTCTTCTTTTGCCCTCAATCGTTCCCAGCATTAGGCTCTTCTCCCGTGAGTATTTTTGTTTAAAGGCCTCTAAAGCCTTACTCAGCCCACACTTTTAACATTTGAAAGGCCTGTTTCTACTACCTAAACTTGCCCATTAAGAATGATTAAGGGGGATTTCTCCACTTCTTGCCACCTTTTGACATGGACAATAGGGCTTTACTTGAGGTGGCTGTTACATCATAGAACTGTTTGTAGAGGCTTCTACTACTTCCTTTTGTCACCACATTAAAGCATTTGGTTCTCCTTGCCTTAAACACCATCAGTTTGCTTTTATGAGTAGGAATTCTCCTTTTAACAGGATTGTTTTACTATTGCCTTTATTTAATCTGAAATCCATTGTTTGTTTTTATGATTGTATTTTTCATTTCCGTTTGATTTTGCAAAATTGCAGAATACACACATCAGAAAAATAACAATAGGGAATTTTGGACTGTAGCCATCATTGGGCAGGTAGGCATTTTTTTTAATGGTCTGCCCTGCTTCTACCTCAAAAATAATCCCCTTCTTGTAGAAAACTAGAGCATCTAGGAATGAACTTTCCTAAAATGATGTGATGTATTAGGTATGAGAACTTTTGAATTAAGGATGGGTTTAGGAACAGGACAGCTCTCCCCAGTCTGGTACGGCATGTTCTAGAATGCTATTATTATTGTAAATCATCTTATTTATTTGGAGTCTTTCCACAATCAAGTGTAATGTTATTCTGTATGTCATGCATCTTCCTCATCAGCAGTTTATAATAAGGAAACCCATTTAACTTTCATACAGCGCTGTTCAATGGAATGATGCTACACCAGGATTTAAATATAAGTTGCACCCCTGCTATTTTCAAATAGTATAAAGTTAGATCCAGCAATGTTTTCATAAGCCCTAGGCCAAAACAAGGCCAGCTGTGGTGCAAATAATTAGAAATATGAAAGGAAACCAGTTGATTCCCAGTAACATGGCAGCTATCTGCCTTAACCCTTTCAAATTAGGATTTATCTAAATGCATAAAAGTTGCATCCTTACGGGCTAGTATCAGAACTGTGATGCTGTAGTACTGTGTTAGCATTTTCAACAAGCTAAATTTCTCAGAATTCATTGGAGAAGTCATGACAGCTTATTTGGTAAAATAAAACATCTTAAATTGATATTGTGCTCAGACAGTAGCTACTCAGTGACTGGATAGCCTCAGTGTCAGTAGTGAAAATAAAAACCAAGGAAAATAATTTTTCTTCTTGTCTCCATTTTGAATATATCAGTTCAAATTTGATTGTAAGCATGAAGTTTCATTATACCTCTCTTCTATACAGTTCAGGTAGAGGAACATATGTACAATCTTTAAAAATAACAGACACTTGCAAGATTATGCTTATTTTCATAAACCTCGGTTAATATTTTCAGAGTACTGTAAATGTTTTCAGTTCTTTGAGCTGCCAACCACATTTTTTAAAAAATTTCAATGAATGAAAGGCTAATCTCTCCATCTCTTCATTCACTTGCTTACAGGAGGTTTCCCATCAAAACCCAGACAATTACCTATCGGACGAAATATGACTCTGTTGCTAAGAAGCAGCCCATGTTCTTCTATTATATACTTTTTGGGCTTAATTAAATCTGGCCACTGACAATTTAGCTCCTCAAGTAGGAAATTAATCAGCAACATATTTATAGAAATACAATTCTGAATATCATCACCATCATTCTCAGCATCATCCCTACCATCATCCTCTTATGATGCTCTAGATGTCAGTTGAGTTAGCCTCCCATTTCTTCATGGCGCATCATTTCAAGGCTACCCTCTGCTCAAGATAAGGAGCAACTTCATCTTACCTTCCCAATTAAGGCAGCAAATTGGTTATTGAGCATCTTGATATCTTCTTTCTCTTTGGTCTTTATCTCCTGGAGAGCTGGGTCAACATCCAGGTGGATTGGCTCCAAGAGATCTTGGTTGAAAGACACTCTTGGATATGTATAATAGTAGCCATGTCCTGTGAGGCTGGAGGAACTGAAGCTTTTCTTGCTGGCTTCTCCCATGGTAGGACTGCTGCAGGCCCCATCCCTTAAAGAATGAGGAGAATGCGAAGGAGAGCACTCTCTTTCCCAGCTATAAGAGGCTTTGGGAGAAGTAAGGGAGCTGGTACTGAAGTTCCCAGAATGACTTGTCATCCTTATGATGAGGGAAAGCAAAGAAGCACTAGGTCAGCTACGAGGGAGAGAAGTAGCAGGTTGGGGAACAGCAGCGTAGATTAATTCCTGTCTCTGCTGAGCTCAGTTTAGCTAATGAATTACAAACACCTGTTCTCCTAATGTTCATAAAGTCAGGAGGGTGTGACTGTTGATGTAATCCAGATCAACCTGTTGGCTTTGTCTCTCCCTCTTTCTCTTCCTCCTTTCCCTCCCGCCTTTTGTAGTTTTGTTTGTGAGGTGAGCACATATGCCCAGACATTTGTAGGAAAAGAGGGAGGAAAAAAACAACCCCCAATCAAAATTACCCCCTAGCTTCCCTCGACTTGCTTCCCGAGGAGAGGAGGTTAAGAGGTTTCCTCAGCTTTTAATGGCAAACAAGAGACTTGAACAGAGAGACACTATCTTGGCTGAACCTCAAGATCAGTCAAGAGCAGGAAGCCTTAGAGAGTTTAACATGTCAAAACATTCAGGCCCTGCTTTTTCTCCAATGACTGTACTGCTCATTTCTATTGTAAAATGCTAATTAAATATTTTGCATGCTCAGGTAGTTCAGTTTCCAGGCAGTTTGAATACTGAGACAGATTCCAGGCACTTTTCTGTCTGACTTGTCTAATCAAAGCCTCTTGATTAAGCTCCAAAATACACAAAATTATTTCTATCTATGCTTATAGGAAATGTGGGGATACTAATGTATTTAATCACATGGATTAAATTAGGCTGCAGTGAAAAGACGCTTGAATAATTCAGTGTTCACAATTCCTAAGAACTGAAAAAAATCATATTTGCCAAAGAGTTGTTTACCTTAAGCTATCCCTCAGATTTACAAATGGAGTATATTTTTAAGGCAGTCTGACTTCATTAGAAAGATTACATATTTGTGGGTGGAGAAGGCTTAAAAAGTAAACAAAAGAGGAAGCATGATAGAACAAGTAAGCATATTATTAAGAAAACATAGATCAAAAATAGAATTCATTCCCAAATTTGTCATACAAAGAAGAGTTTTGTGTCACTCTTAGACAATGGTATTTGTACTCTTTGTTTTTCATTGGGTGTTGCATATTGCTAGTTAAATAAACTACAGACATTTCAGATGAAGTGCAAGTATTGTGATATACTCCCCAGAGATGTATTTTTTTTTAGTCTTTTATTTTAGACTTGGTCTCAGCTGCTCAAAAAAAGTGGTACCTCAAAAGAATGTTAGGGACTACACAATGCTATACAACTTTTTCAAAGGGAAAATGAAATCATTTCCATCTTGCGCTTGTGTGGCCAATGACATCATTGTGCCGCCTAGAGCACCCATGATTCCTAGAAAGATGTTTGAATCCAAATATGAACCTGATGCACCTTTATGCATGCAAAACAAGCCACTGAAAGTAATCTGATTTAAATGTTTTAATTTTAACTGAATTTTGACCCTATTTAAAGATTAGACTTTTAATATACAAAGCCTCTGCTTTCTACATTGTACCAGAGGTGGGTTCCTACCAGTTCGCACCTATTCGGTAGAACCGGTTCATCAAATCTACCGAACCGGTTAGAAGAGGTTCCACCAGTGGACCCGGAAAGCAGGCCACACCTACAGAAGAGGTTCCAAAATTTTTTGAAACCCACCACTGCATTGTACATTGTACATAGTGCATTGCCTTACATTTGTAATCATCATACAGTTCTCTGCCATTATTCCATCTTTTTTTTCTACCAGCATAGGATTGGTATTATATAGAAGTGTTCATCTGGAAGCATCTAAAGTGACCAATCTTAAATTCAAATTAAGGTGTTCCAAAGTCAGCATTCCAATAAATCCTAAAGCCTGACTAGAAGTGGCTCAGAAGAGCAGGAAGAATAAATGTAAGGGTGTTCTTCCTGTGTTTTTCATTTAAATTGTCTCTCTATTGCACTTAATGGGAGTAAATTTAGACCAATTTCTGAGCTAATCTATTCTAGACTGATATGACTGCTTCTGGAATCTCGAAAGTAATCTAGCCGGTTCCTGCCATTCCTTTTGGTATTTTCCGTAGTTGCGATTTCATTATCTTCTAAAAATCTAACTTTTAAAGATCATCTGTACTTCAAAGTCTCAAAGGTGCCTTTCCAAAAGGCAACTGACTTGTTTTTTTTCCCCTTGAAAAATATTTTGCTTCTCATCTAAGAAGCTTCTTCAGTTCTGGATGAATGAGAATCTCCATAGACTTGTACCTCAAAGTATTTATTCTCCATCCAAAATGGAGAAGAAACATTAAACAATGGCCTCCATAAAACGAAAATTTCTTGAACATTCTTGAAGGGGGTAGTTGATTATATGGACAGTTAGTTATAGTTTATATGAGAAGTTAACCTGATTTCTATCTAGTCTTTTGCGCTTACATAATATGTAACTCTCTATTTAACTTTACTTAATTACTATGATATATATAGGAGAATATCTGCCAACCCTTATGAAGTGGCTAAAAGAATTTAAGGGGAAAACAACTATTAAATTCTTTGTTGAGGGTAGTGAAATGAAACCTCTTTCTTTGGATTAGTAGACATTAAAAATACTGGTTTAAAATCCACACAGGATGACATTAGTGAGCTTTTGAAAAAAAATAATAGGTCCCCAGCTGCTGTTATAATAAATACATGGTGCTCTTGATAGTAATACACATTTGAAATCTAGTGTCATATTGGTAAGAAAGGCTTCATATCTTCTATGAATTCTTTTGCCAGCTGTATTTCACAGTTTTTTAAATCTATATGTTATGGTGGTGTTTCTCAAACTTTCTACTTCATTGCTTACAATTGTTCAATAGAAAGTTGTTTTTACCCAATGTAGGTAAAACTTGTAAGTCAATATAAATGTTCCTGCTGTGGTTTCATGTATTGCTACTCTCCCCCCCCCCCCCCCAAACCCTTTTACTCAGGGGTGGGCTTCAAACGTTTTAGCAAGGGGTTCTTTGCCCGGTTGCTGGCTGGGTGTGGCCATGGTGGGAGTGGCCTAGTCAGCCTCTTGCACCACGGTGTGTGTGTGGGGCATTTTTGTCCTCCTGGAGGCTCAAGGGGGCTGGAAACAGGCCCCATTTCTGGCCTTCCCGAACTTCCAATGGGCCTGTTTTTTGCCCTCCCCGAGCCTGTGTGTGCATCCTACACTTACCTGCATCCAAAACAGGCTGCGTGGGAGGGGAGGGGTGGGCGGGGCCAGCCAGGAGTGAGATTTGGGGGTTCTCCGAACTGCACAGAATCTTAGCTAGAGGTTCTCCCAAACCCCTGTGAACCCTCAGCAGCCCACACCTGCTTTTACCCAAATTTGGGTAATTTACCTAGGTTTGGGAAGTACTGTAATTATGGACTGTTATTCTGTATTAACTGACATGGGAAGACGAACTTCTGCTGGAACCTTAATTGGATATTTATTTATATTCTTTTTAGTTCTGGAAAGGCGATCTGTACCTTCCACTCAAAACCCATTGTAGACTTCACTTCAAGCTTTCCTAAATGCTTCCTGTCCTTACCAGATACCTGAGGCTCTATGGTGATCTTGGCAATTCAATTTTATCAAAATTAGCAAGTTTGTTTTTCTACGCAGTCAAAACAAAATGTTGATCATATTTTTTGTTTTACCAGTCTGAACGTGCCAAATCAGGGAAAGGGATTATCTCTCTCTTAAAAAAAATGCATGGCCCAAAGCTGATCTGATTATAATTAATAAATGGTAATTGATATGAAGATGTGGATTGTTTGACGTTTTTACACCAGTCATGGTTAGACCTAAGCTCAAATTTGCTGTTCTGTGGCTTGTCACCATGAAGCATTGCAGAGAGACCTGTAAAGATCAAAGCCACTAGACTGTTCTGGTCAGATGTCTGGTCTGCTAATGATACCTTCAACTGGTTACACCAAGGATAACTGCTCCCTGGTGCAGGAACAATGGTTCAGCTTCTGCTTTTTATTGGTTCAATCTATGAAATTTTACTGGCTTGATGTCATCTGAAATAAGGAGAATGGGATGTTCTCCAAGAAAGGTTTAGAAAAAGAATTATGGCTGGCAAAAGATAGATCACTGAGAGGATTATTACTGAGAAAATGGTTCTAAAATGTTGTTTTAGGCTGCTTTCCCAGGGGAATTTAGGTAAGTTAAAAGATGCTTGATGCTAATGGAGTCAAGCATAATATACAATGTCTCTAGTTTATCAGTAATTTCTGTATCTCTGTGAAATTGCAGCGCAGTGAAATTTAGCGAACTTAAGCTAGTCAAGATTCCAATGTAGATATCCCTTAATTTGAATAACTATTTCTTGTAATTAAAGTGTAAGAAAAATAAAACTGAAATATATATTTAAGAGCAAAAATACTATTAGAGTTGACTGCAAAATCCACTGGGCCTTTGTGAAATGGCTGCTGCATATTCCCTTTTCCTTGACGTGGCAGAAAGTTAACAATTAGTCTTCTGAATTATCAGTAATTTATTAATTATTAGAAGGATGAACATCCAACAACTGAAAAGTGCTGTGCTTGACATGTTGTAGCATGGAGAACCCTTGCCTATAAAGTCACCAAGAATTGGACACGAGTGAACAGTTTAAACTACTACAACTATTTCTGAATTATTAGCCTTCAGAATTAGGTTTTTTTCTTAGTCTCTGGATAACTTATTCTTTCTTTACTCTAAATCAGTGATGGGGAACTCTTGGGCTTGGCATGTCAAAAATTCAGAAAATGCCTAATGTAACTGCTGGCATATCACTTCCTCCAAACAAAAGACAATTGTTTATCTCCCACACCCACTCCATCTAGGCCACTTTGAAGCATGGCACTCAGCAGCACTGCCAAACCTGGGCCTGAAATAGAGGCCCAGGCCTTGACTTCACCCCTAGAGCCAGCACTGCCACTCAAAAAGGGCTGCCTTGTACCATTGCCCAAGGCATACTAGCCTACAGAAAGGTGAAATTGCCCCCGTGGCCCAGCACTCCTCAGGGTCTGCTGTGAAATGCTTATCTTCAGGTGGCCTTCTCTTTCTACTGACAGGCCCCTGAGGCCCAGCTGAGGTTGCTCTGTGTCAAAGCCTTCCTTCTTGAAGCAGCTATGGAAAATGATTTTCTGTAGTTTC